GATGGTCAAACTGTGTGTTTTTGCGTTTTCGTTGCGATCTTTACTATTTTTCTGTGCAAATTAATAAATAACTACATTTGCCCCTTTTATTTTTTCCAGCTTATACGTAACACGTGCACCTAAATTCACAATTTTTTGTTGCAATGCAAAGACTATTAGAGTATAAAGGGTATTTAATTAAAGTACTGTTTGATAGCATTAGTTTACACTTAACTTCCATACTATGTATGTACATATCTAAATACAGAACTCCTAAGTTTAGGTATAACGTCACAATAAAAGATTGAAAAATTAGCTTCTCAGGGGGAAAAAATTTAATTCAAGAGTAACTTTCGAAGAGGTACATGTAAGTGATATGTGCCATTTGTAATGCCAATTAAAGAAAAGCTTATTACGTAATTCATCGAATTCATTTATGTATGTTGCCCAAAAAACGCATTGCTGATGTATAGATGTATATATTATATGTATGTAATTCAATGCCTCTTTTGCTTCCTACACTTAATTTATAAAAGCCGAAAGCAAAAAATATACACTCTAACATTTATGCTTAACCACCATTTACTCAGACAGCATATAAAATGCCAGACAGCCTAATCCACACACAAAAGTCAATTGATTGTCGCCATTTAGTTGCATAAAGTGTGCAGTGGATATTTATAACGATTTGGTTGTTGTTACTTTTAATTCTAAAATCGCCACTGACGCACGCAAGCTTCGGTAGGAGTTACACCAGTGTGCTATGCCAGTATGATATTCTCATCACTTTCCTGCACTGTACGTAGTGTTGTATTGCAACACTAAAGTCCAGTGCGCCTTGTGACTCTCTACTCCACTTCCCTCCGTTGCGCTGCCACTTCAAGCGCCACTGCTTGTCAATAACTAATTTGTCCGCTAACACCGATTGGATGGTGTGGGTCCGCCGCCAGTCAGCCAACAAACCCGCCAGCCAAATCGTCACGAGACGGTCAAATGCCGGTGTTTGCATATTCATATTGACTGCTGCACAGCGGTAGCTGCCAACTGGTTCGTAGGTTGGCTGGTTGACGCTTTGCGAATTGCGCGTTTCAAGCGATTCGTGTGTTATGAAGCAGGCCGCAATAGTGGCGGCATACATACTACTATATTTTCATATATATGTATGTAGGTACATATGTATGAATGCGGCTATATAGCAACCATGGAAAATTGGATACTCGATGAGTCCGCTGCACTCAACTGCATTGCGAATTTGTTTTATTTATTAATACATTTATTGTTGATGATGCTGCGGCGCTTATGGTTGTTGTTGTTGTTACTGCCAGCTTACATTGCTTCGCATTCATTTTCCCTGGACTGTATGTTCGCTATTTTTATTTTCGTCTGTTTTCCTATTTAATTTGCCTGAGTGAGCGACTGGTCAGTTAGTCAGTCGGTTGGTCGATCGTTCGTTGTCGGCATTACTAACGGTTATCGCTGGAGTCCGCAAAGTTTGTATTGCGGAATTAATTTGTGCGCGTTTGCCTACTCGCCAGGGCGCCGAAACCAAATAATATAAACTAAAATTATATGTATAAATGTATGTGTTGTTGATGTTGTTGGCTGCTGCACACAAATTGCTTGCATTCATTTGCAATTTCGTATGCCACCCGTGCGTCGCGCTCGCTACAACACATCACCATGTGTGTTCACCGGCTCCGGTTTATTTCATTTAAATGTGGGTAAAATGCTTTCGACTGCAGTATAATTTCATAGGCATTGTCTGTGTAGTCGTTTGGGCCGTAAATGTAATTATACAAGTAAAAATGTGGCAATGTTAACATTGCATAAAAAAATGCAGCGGCAAGGACAGAGAAATTCGATTTTATCACATCTATGATTTATATATGTTGTCTGCTTTTAGGCGCTTAAGCAGATACGATAGTTTTTATTGTGTGTTTTTTTGCACTGTGCATATTCTAAAGAATCACACAAATACGAGTAATATATTTTCATGCTCTTACAACATGTTGGTATAGAGTATAGTAATTTTGTTTACCTAACGGTTGTTTGTATCACCTAAAAACAATCGAGTTAGATATAGGGTTATATATGTATATATAAATGATCAGGATGAAGAGACGAGTTGAAATCCGGGTGACTGTCTGTCCGTCCGTCCATCTGTGAAGCTGTAACTTGAGTAAAAATTTAGATATCTTTATGAAACTTGGTACACATGTTTCTTGGTACCGAAAGTGGTTGGTATTGCAGATGGCCGTAATCGGACGTAATAAGTTTAATGTCCATATCCTATACCACTGAAGCTATAATAACAAAATTCACTGGGAACAAATGTTTTTAGCATCTCTATCGACGGTGTGAAAATGGGTGAAATCGGGTGACAATCCCCCCCTTCCCCCACTCCCCATATAACGGTACTGTTAAAAACTACTTATAAATTTTATCTCTCACCGCCCACTTTTAGGTGAAAACCCATATCTTGGAATCTGCTTAACCGATTTCAACCACATTCGGTACATAATATTCTTCTCATATTTCTATGTTATTGTACGAAAATGGGCGAAATCGGAATACAACCACGCCTATTTCCCATATAACATTATTTTAAATTCCATCTGATTTTTTTCAGTATCCAAATCAAGCAACAATGATTATATCGACGTTAAACTTTGCGTGAATAATACGTTTAAACAATGCCACCTTGTGGCCAAATATTATCTAAATTGAACCAAAACTGTTCAGGCCCCTAGGTACTGAATATATGGACCCCAGTGCCTACAGTTGAGTTTTTACCGAAAATATCGGTTAACATAGAACAAGGCGGCAAGATCCACAAAGAAACCTAAAACGAGTATACCATTTGACTTTGCCAGAGTATAAAATCTTCGGTTACATCCGAATTTAGACCTCCCTTACTTGTTTTTATATAAAGTTTTCCTAACACCAGAAGGTATTTTTACCTGCTTTGCTCCTTACAAGGTGCAAGAGTATAAAATGTGCGGTTACACACGAACTTAGCTCTTCCTTACTTGTTTTTATATAGTTTTCCTGCATGTTATAGCAGCCAACATGTTTTGGATGTTTTTGACTTCATTGAAATGTAAATAAAAAACACATAATGATAAATTCAATTGAACTCCCTAATTAACATTCTGTTCTATTGATCCATAGACCCTACCACCCCTCTGTCAAGCTTCTGCTTGCCAACGCTACACTTCTCACTAATGAAAGTGCACATTTCAAATGGCGTTGAGTCATTTTTTGCTTTTGATCGCAGCAATTGCAGTTCGGTCACGTGCCACTTTCTGTATACATTTAAGTGTATGTAAGGGGCATGTTTAATTACTGAATGCAAATGTAATTTGCTATATTTATTTATATTTAGTTTTGCTAACATTACAGCGGTTCATTTTCAAAATAAAATCATGCAAGTGAGAAGATATAGCGGCATTTAGATGCGTTATCGATAATTGGAGAAGAGAAAATATCGGTACATTGACTAACTTTACATATACAAGTACATATTATACATATGTATAATCTAAATGCATATAAAATTGAACAGAAGTATAGGCAATATAGTGTTTATTGCACCCATGCACAGAGGAATGTGATGGGGGTAAGAATAGTGTTAAAAAATGTTCAAACCACATTGATAACACTTAGACGTAAAAAAATTCATTTCTACACAATTATTATTAATTTTATAGAAATAACGATCAACACTGAAAACTATAATCGATAATTTATTTTTAAAAAATATCGATAATTCTATATATCGATTTTTTCATAATTCTGCTTCAAAGTATTCTACATTGAATATTATATACAGATTTTAACTGCACAGGCTGTTAACAATATCCAAATTGTTAATCTTACGCTGGCGTGTTATTACATTTTTTATACAATCTCAAAATTTAAAAAGGTATCACATTTTTCTTTAAAAGATACAATTTTCGGAGGTTTAGAACACATTTTTGCAAACAAAACACATAAATGGCTAAAACAGACAGAAATCAATAACGCCAAACTGACAGAAAATTACATGAAAACAAAGTTCCTAGTTCCTATTTCCCTTTTTTTTTTATGTGTTTATACACTTTAGACATTTAATTTTTAATAATTCCGATGTTCATGCTAATCAGTATTTTACGTTCATGGTCAATATAAAAACTAGACTCTTCACCACTATGAGTGCACTGTACCTACATTGTAAATGCTTCGACCCTTTATCCAATGATGTAAATAATTTTAGACGGGAGTTTGCTTAAAAAAGCAAATTATTTGATCAATCTGTCTGAAGGGAGTGTGATAATGTTTTATGTATAAATCAAAATAAAAGCATAAACTGAGATCAAGATCATTACAAAACGATTTTTGTAAAATTAAGATTAGAACGTGTTAGCTTTGTCGACAAAATAAAAATTAACTCCAGAAGACTCCAACTACATTTATATTGCATGAAAAATAAACTATCCATTGCACTCAACTCAATTGAAAGGCGTAATCAAGAATTGTATACCACCGCACAGCAAATAGAGTTAATGGAGGCACAACAATTGTATGACAATTTAATGTTTATTCGTTCATTCATTTATCGGCACACACGCACTCACATATGCTCACCCATCGTTCGAATAACATATGGTTCTTTAACCGCTGCAGTAACACCTCACTTTGTTTCGTTCTTGCCACGTTGAAACGCTATTTGTTTTTTTTTTCACGCTTCACCTATATGTTCACCTCAATTTTTTCGAAGATAAACAGTGGCACAATCAAGACAACAACAATTCAATTACGCACACACGCGCACACACACACAGTAGCAGCACGACCACCAGAGTCGGAACAACTGTTCCACAGACCGCGGTTCGTGAGGTAAACATTAATTTGTTTAAGCAACGGCATGCTGATAGCAATGAAATTCATTTTATTGCCATTGCCAAGAGAGCACATACATAGTATACATATATATAAAAGGCAAAGTGGCGCGGTGCACAACGGTGCAAATAATTAATTACCTGATGTGGTGATGGTGACGCCTGTGATGGCTGCGGCGAAGGACTCGGTGCATGCCCAGGACTACTGCTGGGCGGTGGGCCGCCATGCTGTGATTGATGCGGTGATGCTGGGGGATGAGGATGGCCACTAGGCCCAGGACTAGGTGCCGGCGATGTACCACCGGGCCAAGGTCGATTCGGTTCAGGATACTGCAAGTGGAAAAGAAGAGAAAATAAACATTTATTCATATTGCTTTCAACTTAATTTATATGTTAATACAATACATAAAGGGAGCGAGTTGTATGCAGACGAAGTAAGCATCCTTGTCTATACTTTCTGTGACGTTTTATTTTAAAACTGTATATCAAAATTTAATAATAAAAAATTTGTAAAATATTAAAGTTCACAATTCAGTGGTGAATAATAGATTATTGTACACATTTTTTTGCTTCATGGCTCCATCCACCTACCTCTTTTAATGACTATAACAACGAAAAGTTTAAATAAATAGGTTTTAAAAATCGTCATCGTGTTGACATCATATAGAGAGATAGCTGCGGTTCTTAACATCTTTTATGAATCGACTAACACATTTTGATGTATGTTTTGGGTATGAAGCATGACAATGCTAAACTCTTACTAAAAGACTTGCATGTTTTGCAGCTTTTGACTTCGAGTAGAGATCGCAAAAGAGATCATTGACAATGTAGCTGAGAACTCCACATTCAACAAACGCACCATTACTGGTGACGAGAAGTGGGTGCATGAATATGACGCCGAAACTGTCCAAAAACTACTGAATGGCGCTTTGAAAAAAGAGGCGAAACCGAAAAAACCAAAATTCGCTGAAGGCACTCAACCGAGGCTTATAACAAGTGTATGGAAAATTTGATTAAGCGTTGACATGCTTGTACTAGCTCAGAAATTTATTTTGTAGTCAATAATAAAGATTTATATTAAAATACTTCAAATAATTTTTTTTTTTTTTTGTTAGTCCGGGTCAAATTTGTCGAATGGTACACATAGGTTAGGATATGTTTTTAATGTGTTTTTTTCGCGGTATTTACGAACTTTACATTTACTATGTATATACCTAGTGTATCATTAAATTTACAGTTCCCTACTTTGCTTCGAGACTCAACACTACATCAATTTTCAAAAGGCTTTAAGCATAGCATACATATCTTTATCTCTAAAAGTATTACATCGCATTTTAATTAGGGAAAAAAACATGAGGAAATACTTAGCCTTAACATTTTTGCGGATTTTTGTAGCTTCAAACAGAAAAATCACCAAGGAATTAAAAAATGGTATTGAATTAATTATTATTCATGTTCAAGCGAAAAATTCATTTTTGTTATGAATTTTTTTGTGATTGCATACACAACAACAACAACATATTTACATGTTTTTTGCTATGGTTGTAAGCAAAAAAGCTACTGCAGAAGGACATATACAAATATTATGAATGTAAATGTATACACACGCGCACTTTGTTTAACGCAGCTCTTTTTCACAATGCAATTTGCATCGTATATACTTCAGTAGTTTCATTAAATTTCCGTTTTTTACAACACGCTGACATAATGCGCTGATAAACGGCTATGCTGTTGCTAGTCATAAATTCCATGTGCGTGGGCGCATGTGTTTGTCGGAATTTTTGCAAATAACATAAAAAAAATAATTTTATTTTACTGAAGTATGCGTTTAATAGAAATTTAATATAGGCGAAAAAACTATATTTGCATGTGTGTGCGTAATGCGATTGTAAATTGTAAATATATCTAACATATATTTGTAAATGTAGACCACTATGAAATGAATGCTGAACTGAATTTTTTGTTCGCGGTCATTAAGCTGGAAAAACATCAGCTAAGCTTTAATGTACTAACCTATCATACTGGGATCATATCATAATCACATATAATTCAAGTATTATTTTCAAACTAAGTATAAACTTCAAAATCAATGATGATATTATATGAAACAAATGCTTCGATAATTATGATAATGACATAAAAATCGCAAGTCTTGCATCAGTATAGAACTAGTCATTTTTCCTAGTGGGTATTACACGCACGCACAAAGCAATATTTGCAGTTTCACAATTAATTTGGATTGCATTCTCGCATTTTCGACTTTCATTTCAATTCATTGCATTTGTTGCTTTTTTTGCAAGAATACCTATTTCAATTCTGCGAAATTTTAATAAATCCCGGATATTTTGTTGGTGCTTAATATGTATATTGTTATTGGTGGTTTTTATTTACTATTAACTCATGCTTGATTATTAAATATTTGTTCAGGTATTAAAGTTTACTTTATATTGAGGATAAGTACGTTTGCATAAGCCGAAAAGTAATAAAAAAAAATATATCAAAATATTCTCATATACATACAGTTGTATTAAAAAACCGCAATCCGAAAAAACAAAAAAAAAAATTACTTGTATTGTACTTCGGTAAATATGTACAAGTATTTAATCAAGAGGAAAAGTCATATTTTTCATATATGCACACCGGTTGCTATTATTTTCACCAGCACTGTTTGTTTGTCAATTCTTAACAGAGCACAAATGCGTCAATTTCAGAGCAATGCGCACTTTCCAGCTGCATACAATTATTTTTTATTCTATTATGATTTTTAATTAATTATGTGGCTTGTTGGATTTTTATTTTTTAATTAATCATTAAATATTAAACATATGAGCGCATTGATTTTGAACAAATAATAAGGTTGAAGAAAGGTCATTAGTTATACGTAGCGTTCTTGTTGAAGCATATTTAATGCATAGTATACGATATAAACTTTCAAAATAATTTAACTTAATATAGACATTGATAATAATAAAAAACCTTACGCTTCACTGGTGCATTTCTTATAGTATGACAGGGTATAAAAAGACCTTTATCTTGATTTTGATCGGACAGTTTAAATGGCAGTTCGGAGATTGTAGCATTGTCTTGGATAATAATCTATGCCGAATTTCGTGAAGATATCTTTTCAAATAAAGAGCTTGTCTATACAAGAACTTGATTTCGATCGGTTAATTTATATGACAGCTATATGTTATAGTAGTCCAATATCGGCGGTACCGCTAAATAAGCAGCTACTTGGGGAAAAAAGAACATACGCGAAATTTCAAATCGATATATCAAAAACTGTCGAACTAGTTCGCGTATATTGTGACCAGAAAGTTTCCGGAAATTGTCATTTAAACTGCCCGCGCTGTATATTGTTCAGTACTTTTTTTTTGGAAAGTTGGTAGCACTGTCGTTAATTGTTATGCCAAAATCGAGCGCGATCTGTCAACCAGTTTGTTTGCAGCAGCTGTTGAAATCAGTCGACCTCAATAATGTTTGTTACAATGGAAAAAAATATTGAATAAATAATTTGCATCAAATTTAGTGTTTCAAAGCACATTTCGTGTGCGGAATCATTTCGAATGTTAGAAAACTCTCATGGTGAATCTATTTTATTAAAAACCCAAGTCTACGACTGGTACAAAGCTTTTAAGGATGGTCGAGAAACCGTCGAAGACATGCCTCGTTCCGTTCGTCCTTCGACGTCTACTACACTGACGATAACATCAAAAAAGTGAAGGATATCGTGTTCGAAAATCGTCATGCGAGTGTTAGAGAGATAGCACGTAAGCTTAACATCGGCCGTGAAGCAGTTCGTTTGATCTTGACCAATAATTTGGGCATGACACGCGTCAATGCTCGGCTTGTTCCAAAAGTGCTGAACTTTTTGCAAGAAGACCATCTACACGATTGAGGCCGCAAAAGAAAATTCACAGGGGAATCTGAAGGCGATTCCGGACAGCGCCTACAAGGCATGTTTCGATGATTGGAAAAACTGGTGGCATATGTGTAACGCTACAGAAGTGGCATATTTTGAAGGCGAAAAAAGAAATATTGATGAAGATTAAAAATGTTTCGTTTTATTTACAATTTCCGAGACTTATTGGTCGCTAAATCGGCTCAGCTTATTACGCTAATCATTATATATACATATATACACTTTATAGAGTCTATGACGTTTCTTTCTGGATGCTACAAACTACATGGCAAACTTCATGTTACCTATTCACGATATAAAATTTATAAAGAATTTGGTAAGCCTTAAATACACTACTAGGAATATGAGAATTAATGATTATACAAGCATCAAAGTACATTTCATATTTTAATAATTTTCTAGAAGAAATTGTGAAAACTGCAATAACATAAAGATATTTGCATGTAATTCTTGGAACACAATATCACCAATTTGAAAATTTATACAATAGCTTACATATGTATGTATGTGCATAGACGCACACTTGCATGGATATGTGTATTGGTTACTTTGTATAAATCACGAAAAGCAAAATGAAATTCCTAGAAAATAATTTGAAATTTGCAAAAGAAATTTCTGAAATTTAGTAATTTTCGTGGAGTATTTCGTCTTTAGACTTCACTGATATTAACATAAGTAGAAATAAATTAAATAAATCTATAAAAAACTGAGTAAATATTTTTTGAGCCTATGACTTTTACAATTGGTTTTATTATGGAATTTGGAAGAGAAATTTAGTGATTCGCAAGTGCTATGCCAAAAAACATGTTTCAATGAAGAATATTTCGTGGTACACTTGCACTTTGCATTAAAATGCGAACAACACAATATTTGTATGCAACCCATTGTTACCACAACAACAATAACCAGATAGTTTGCAATAATAACAACAATGGCAAAGCCGTATTTATCATGATTATGTGGCAAATGTCAGAACGAAGCGGCAACAAAAGCAAAAACAAAAAAACAACAAATGAGTATGCACAATGCAGTTGCCACATAACGAACAATAACAAGGAACAACAACATAAGTGCAAAAGTACGTGCGACGCATAGCAACAGTCAATCCAATAAAACAGCCTGCTGCAGCATCAGTAGGCGCCAGCGCTGTCGAGGACAAAGTGTTCAATTGTAATTGATGCGACAAGTGCGAGGATTGATACGCACTCAAATGTATATCTACGCACGGCATATACATACTTATGTGCATAGATATATAAATGTATTGGCATTAGCGCTCACATTTCGGACGAATGAACGTCAGCGTTCGCCAAGTTAATCCACACTGCATTGTAGAAATGCAACAACAAAGGACGCAAATATTGTTAAAGCGCAGGTGTACACATTTACATTGTTGCATTAAATGTTGTTGCAATACATTAGCAACAACAAGCAGCACTACAGTATGACAAACATACGGATTTTTGACAATTGTGTGACATATAGCATTATTATATAGAAGGGGATAGCTGAATCAATGGAGTAAATATTTAGATTTATACTACTGGCACATTTTAACATAACTCAAGGCATTAAAAAATTTATTTACTTGCTTTTGTAATGCTAATAGCCTTCGTAGGGAATCGAAAAAATAAATAACAGAAATTTTATCGATATAAAAAAAATCATGAATTTCGGATTTCCCACTGGGTATGCAGTAATATGCACAATACAATATCACACTCTCTTGTACTAGAATTGCTGCCATATGGAAATTTTTGTTGCCAGTGTGAATGTTACTTTGCTGAAATTGTTGTGTTGCTACAATTTATTATTTTTATTGTTACATTATTGCATACAGTCAAATAAAAAAGTATGCAATTAAAGCACTGCGTATATACATAGCTCATCTAAATATCTCAAGATGCTATCAACATTTATGCTTTATAAAAGAAAAAAAAAAAACAGATGTGTTTTTTAATTTCACTTACCTGATGCTGTGAGTAGGCAGTTCGATGATTAGGACCTGTCGCCGGTCCAGGCGGTGTAGGATACCGCTGTGGATACGGTGAGTATTGTGCAGCCGCCGTTCCTTGATTTGATGATTGCGGAGGTGGCGGTGGTGGACCGCCCGGCTGTTGTTGGGGTGAACTTGGATAGGAACCTGAATTTTGACCATGTGTTGGCGGATAAGGTGATTGACCTCTGGAAGTATTTGTCTGCAAAACAAAAAACAAAAAAAATATTGTTTTCAATTTATATATATATTTGACAACACTGAACAACTTCTATTTCTTAGAAATATATATTGAATACATCAACTTAAAAAACTCGAACTTCCAATATTTTACATAAAAATGGTTGTGACGAAGAACAAGTTAAAAGGTCCAATCAAGCAAATGAAAAATTTCTGAAATGTTGTTTGCGCCACACTTTTTTACAAAAACCAATTAGCAAGGAACTAAGAATGAATTTGAAGTGAAGATAATTGACAAATAATGTGTTAATAAATTTGGAAATGTGTATGAGTGACTACAAAAGTAACAAATCAAAGTCGTATCTCGAAGCATATATGAATTTGATTATCCAAAAGATAGTAATCACGGGAAACCACTCAATGCAAACCGCACTATATACTTCTAGAGAGTTGAGCATGATTGTGCATACAAATAAACACATACATATGTATGTACATACTATATGATGTTTGTATCAAAGTATTTAATTGAAGCACATATCTTGTAGTTTCGAATTAAGGTCCGTTTCCTTACAACAACAATAAAAACAACAACTGAGTGTTAACCAAATGAACCCACACGCTCTGTTCAACTAACATACATATATGATTACCAATCGGGTGTTAGGGTGAAACGCGTCAGAACAAAATTGAGCTAGCATCAATTGGAAAATAATGACAACAAAATTTTTTCGCTGCAAACAATTAAAATCAGATTATTGTAAACGAGCTCAATCACGCATCGATTTGACGGCGAAAATTATGATTTTGGCTGAGCGTTGATTTTGAGGTGTATTTATGCTCTGTTTAGCATACGAAAAAAAGGTCGGTTCATACACAACCACTATTCAATTTCAACAAAATATTTTTTCGAGGCTTAGTCTAGGCTTTAGCGTTTTCATAGCTTATAATGCAAGACTTTTCGAATATTTATATAACATTTGAATCTACGTTTTTCCTAAATAACATTTAAAATGTTGTTAGTTATTCGTATGTTATTTTGTGTTAATTCAACTATACACCTTTGTTGTTGCTATTACATGTAAATTTTTTGATAAGAGCATTATCGATCAATCGAAGACAGTTATTATAACTTTCGTTACCAAAAAAATATGCACACAAATAAAAAAGAAGCGACGAAGCCACCTTTGTGGTGGAAAAACATAAAAACGACAGCAACAACAAAAAGCACAATGAAAAAATAATAATCAAAACCTACTTGCAGTAAAAATTAAAATCCAAACTCCCATAGAGTGTATCGCCAAAAATACAACCAAAACCCGAAAAAAACAATAGTAAATTATGAAATTGGAAAGCAGCTGACATTGAAAAAAATACAAACTGTGTGCTGCGAAGGGTGCGAAAGCGAAGATACGCGAAAAGGTACAATTATGGCCGTGGGCAAGGCAAGAACAAGTGCAAAAATAGCAGTGCGTGAAGACCGCGTGCATACATCATCTGTGATAAATAGGTACATACAAATGTATATGCATACAAAATTGCCACTGTGAGTAATGCGGCAGATGCCGAGCACCCACCCACAATTTTTGGGACCCCTGGCAAGCAAGGACGACGACTATAATAATTATATTGTTGCAACGACACACTGCCACAATCGTTAGCTGTATTGACTCTATATTCGGCCCCAGCGGCTGCAATAAAAAACATATAAACAAAAAAAGGCCGAAAAATTACCTACAACGCGAAGAATATAATACGAGTATGTATAAGATAAAGTGATGGCAGCAATAACAGTAGATGACATAAAAGAAAAAGGAATGAAATAATTTGAATTTTTACGTCAATATCCTCCGATTGTTTTGCAATATTTTCCTTTACATACCATTTTTAATTTTTTCGATAACCAATTAGGTCCACTTAATGAAAATAAACTGTCATATAAAATTGTACTATCGCGAAAAAAATGGCAAATATATGTATAATGCATTTAAATTAAATCGAAAAGAGAAGAAAAACCCAACAACAAATGAGTAGACATTAGACAAAGCGAGTAACCGTAGTCAAACGAGCGAGTGCTCAGCACTGCAATAAATATGTCGCGGCCCACCCGCATAAGAGCATAAGATAGGGCGGGCGCAATAATACCAACCACGCACAACAACCATTTCTAACGAATGGATGCGAAATGACAAACACGACTTCGTCGGCATGAATGTCTTTACTCGTTACTTGTTCGTCACAACCCTCGTGTGTGTGCGCAGGATTCGTTTATTCTCTAACAGCGAATTCAAAATGGACATAAACGAGTATATATACACACATATATCCAATGATAAATATGCATGTACACACATTGGTGTATATAATTTTAATCGATTTTCCATATCCATCCAACACCGTAAATGTATAATACATATTCAATGAGTTCCCATCCACCTGTCACCAGGCGCATCCGACACATACATACACACAGCCCGAATCAGAGAAGACAACTACATGTGAGACGGCCTGAACACTCCACCAACCACCAAGTATCGCACGAATAAATGAAAATCTCAGCAATATACTTTGCGTTGGATGAACTCGACTAAACGCCCAACAGCAACGTCACATGCCAATCGAATAGACAGACAATTGCTGGGACAGTCGGTCAACTATTCGTTTGTTAGTAGGTCCGTTCGATTCTGTCGTCTGTCGCACGCAACTGTCCGGCTGCAGACTGCAACAGCGCCACCTGCTCACATTTCACAATTGCCGCTGGTCTTTTGGGTAGAGCTTGTTGGATTTCGTGCCATTTCGAGCAATTTCACTAACACTATGAATGCATGTACATATGTATATATATATATATACATGTATATATTGGAGGACAAATTTCAATACCAGAAGGTTGTATCGCTGTCTGCTGGGTTTACCAGCAACGGAAATGTGATTTTGCCGAACAAAGTGCGAAATGGAGCAAAAAAAAAAAAACTACTGCATAAGAGTAACCACGTAAATCGTTTAAAATTGAGAATTGTTAGGACGCCATGAAAAACAGCTGATTACGTGGATGCTGCTGGTACGTGTTTTACGGGTCTGAATGAGCACAGTTTGTAGTTATGTCTGTAAGTAACTAAGAGAGCTAACAAACACGAAAGATTATTGGTGTGTCGCAAAACATGAATGAATGTGCTACCGTTATTTCGGTGTTAGGCACATGTGATAGCCACTTGTCTGGCGTATATCAAGTATATATTTGATTTCTAGAGAATCTATTAGATCTAATAACAATAGACTTTTGCATTAATCTGAAAGTGCATGTTAAATGCGAACAATGAGGATATTTATAATAATCTCTTCCCATGTACTGCCCAAAAAAGAAACAGGTTTATGTACACGTAGGGTAATTCTTTGACTTAGTGCGGTACACAGAACTGTGGAGAGTTAAATAAGTAGGTACGAATGCATTTTAGTCACAATTGCACTCGTTAATCAATGGGCTAACTTGCCGGCAATCCAATCGCACATAACTACCTGTCAGAAGTTTACCCCTAAACAAGCCTATAGCCAACATACAGTGTTTCTTATTCAAGTTCTCACTTTGGCTTCAGTAAATCAGCATTAGTTTAAAGAACTCGGCCAACCAGAGTGAGCGCAAAAAGTCACACACAACCGCACACATGTGCGCAATAAAAAAGGAGAAATTATATAAATTGTGTAATACGAAAGGTGAAAATTTTGAGTTGATGGCAAGAAAAACTTTGATGCCATTAATGAAAGGATTTTCTCCTTACCCCTTAACTTGCGTACAGATCAGGCGAGTGGCAAATGCAGATATTACGGAACTGCTGAATTGCATGATAAAGCGTGGAAAAGGGCTGCGACGAGGTGCGAACAGCAGTGAATTCGAGACTCCGGGTCACAGATGTGCGCATACATCCAACTAAAGAACCGAACTACCAACACAAGCACACATAAAACCAGCCCCTAGCTTTTGCCGGCAAATGGATGAACGAATGACGAGCGGGCCGTCTGACGAACAGACGGGACATGTGCAAACTAAGGACGACGTAATGTCGTAACATTTTTTAGCAAAAAAAATATCTTTGGCAATTGTAAACAAAAAAAAAAAACTGTGACGATTTTGTTGTTGCTGTTGTTGATTTGCCAACCATGCGGCACACAATGCAGGAATAGGAATAACAGTGCAGTATGCGGCAATAAATCTAATGGAAGGATCTGCGCCAGAACAACAGCAGTAGCTATAGCGGCGATGACGACGAAAGACTGGATAAGCCAAGGGCGCACAAGCACTGCCGCAGGGGCGCACACAATCGACCGGAGTTAGCGCGAACCGACAAACACATACACGCATACATATGTACCTGAAGGAAGTATGTAAGTATAATGCGCGTAGATGGAAATCACAATAACACAGGCATGACGAGCCATAGGAGAAGAATACTAACGCCAGAGCTCATGAACATGCACGAGAAGGGTCGTTACGGTCGCAAAATCCATCAAAAACAGTTTGCACACAGATAGGCGGGGCATATGACGAACGAGGGGCGATGAGCAATCCCAAAAGGCAGTCAAGCAAACAGGCAAATGGGATGACGATAACCGTTCCAAACGTTGTAATCGGACGCTGGCGGTATGGAGTGCGTAGAATGCGGATAAGCTGAATAATGGCAGACACAGGCATACTCTACCAGTCAGCAGATCAACTGACTAGCTTCGCGACGAAACGACATATCGACCAACGACCGACCGAATTAACAAGCAAACAGCATTTGTACTAATACAAAGATATGGCATGTGTACGGCTGAGTGTAAGTGAGAAGCGCTTGTGCCATGGACGCGTACCATAACCTTCCACTGGGGCGGGCTAACGGGCGTACGTAAGATGTAACAAAGTTATGGAGCGACAGGGCAGAGCAGGGCGCGCCAAGAAAGACGCGAAAGACAACAGACTGTGTTCAACATGCGCACATTGAATGTACAAAGAGAACGTCGTAATGACTGACACACCGAACGACC